CATTTATATGAGATATGTGAAAATTTTTGGAAAATGCGGAAATATGCGTGAGGTAACAGATAAAGATATTAATGTGTGCAAAATTTAAAAGAAATTATAAATAATTTAATAATAATAATTTAAATAATTATAAAGAAGCACCGACATGTTCCGCATGGTTATGACAGATATAAGTATTGGAAATTTTGACAGTATTGGACATTTGAAATTTGGGTGAGGTATCAGAAGGGGTTGGCATCGTCCTAACAACAGATCTTGTGTTAGCAAAAATATATGTACCAACAACGTATGGTATAACCTTTTTTTCTGAACATAAGTTCCGACTCCGCTCAGTTTATATATATAATTCATGAATTCCAAAATTTTGATCCTTCGTTCGGGTGGCACCATTTCAAAATTCTTAACCTTTGTGGTGAAGGTACGGCAATGAGATAAAAAAATTAATCTTTTCAGGAAAGATACCAAAAGTAGTGGTAGGGTATTGTCCAATAGTACCAATTCTTTCAAATTTTTCTGGACTGGAAAAATAAGATCAAAGAACTAAAAAAGTTCCAATTTTTTAATTTGGAATAAGACTGCTGACTTAAATTTGTACCCCATAAATTTCATACATGTTGTAATTTTCGAAAAAAAAACGATATTTTCCAAAACATGCCAGAAATTAAATTTCTTGCATATTTTCTAAAACTGCTTTCTTTTTCGAAAATGTCAATATATACCACAAACAATTACAACTCAGCAAATTGTTTATTTTTACACCCTCAAATGGTATGTTTGATGCAGCCAAAGTGTGTCTCATTGAAATAAATGGTTAAGGCCCTAGGTCTCTTTGGATCAAATCCGTTTTAGGACATTTGGAGTAGTTCTAGGGGTGTATGTCCGTCCGTCCGTCTGTGTCTGGCAGTTGCGCACGAGAACTCTCGAAGGGAGTATCCGGTTTGGTCAAGAATTGGTACAACGTGATATTATTGTCAAACTTAAATCGAGTTCGGAGATGAACAATGTCGGTCCACTCCTTCTGGTACCTCCCCCACAAAATGTCAATATTTTCAAAGAAAATAATTTACTGCACAGAAAGAGTAATGAAAATCCGATTTTCCTCCAAAATTTGCAAATCCTAATAATTTTACATCGGTGCTAGATCAGGTGCGAAAATGGTCAATATCGGTCTACTCCATCAAGTACATCCCCCACAAAGGGTCAACATTTTGAATAATTATATGTCTTGTGTGAGTGATTGTCTTCAAATTACACACATCATAATGTTTTTATTAATCAAAGTTCTGGTGTGAATATGGAATATATCGGTCCACTCTTTCTGGTACCTCCCGCACAAGGGGCAAATATTTCAAATATTCATGAAGCTCATAAAACTTGAAACTAACATTCGATTCCATTCAGACTTGGCACATTTCAATAATTCCATCAACACAATATAAATGTTAAAATCGGACAATTCAATCTTTCACTTCTCCCACAAAGGGTCAAACTTTTGAATAAAAAAACGATCATAAAATCCGAAATAAGCATCCGATTCTCTTCAAATGACACACATCACAATACTTTTATTAATCCAAGGTCTGGTGCGAAGATGAAATAAATCGGTCCACTCCTTCTGGTACCTCCCCCACAAAGGATCAAGAACGCGAAATTAATCTCTGATTTCATTCAGACCTCGTACATCTCAACACTAGATTTGATGGTAGAGATTGGACCATTTCTTTTGGCACCTCCTCCACATTTGATAAGCATCCAACGCTCTTCAAATTTCACACATTTTTATGATTGGTGATTTGGCATAAAATTGGATATAAATGTTCGATTTGTAATTTTCACCATACCAAAATTTTTATCTGTATTAGAAAATTGAATATTTCGGTCGGCTATATCTTGCACCTCACGCGCATTTTAACATTTTCTAAGAATTATCACATCTCTCATATAAAGTGAACCAATATAGTCCAAACCTGGCAAGTCGCAATATTTATATCATATTTATTAAGGTCCGATACGAAATGGACAGTACTGGCCCATTTCTTCGAAACCTACTCCATAGCGGGTCAAACATTTGAATAATCATAATAGAGGTCGAAATGTATTTAAATAATTGAACATTGGCTGAGGGTATATCCTGTCGACAAAACTGAGTGATATTTCTTAACTTGTTATATCAGTATTAGGTAAGATACGAAGTGGACACTCTTTTACAATCTCTTTAATAATTTAATATGGGCTGAGGGTATACATCTGTTGGAAAAACAGAAATATAGCTTAAATTTCATTTTTTCGAAATTCGAAAATTCAAATGCAACGGACACTGTATAATTGCCAAGATAAGTGTAAGCGGAAGAAATTTATGCACCGTTTTACTCTTGTTACTACACTAGTTAGCCCCGCTATTCTCTTTTATTATAAAAACATGTTCACTTATCCGTGAACATTCTTGGCAGGGGCAAAAATACGTATAAAATATAAAAATTATAAAAAGTTTAATAAATCTAAGGGAACAGACATTTTAATAGAAAATAAATTAAGTTATGGCACCCAGGAAACTCCTCCATCTTTCCAGCCGGTCTATCTTGAACGTCCCACCTCCTTTGTCTGCCGGCTTTAATTTCCAGGCTGAATCCGTTTTATTCATCGTCCTCTTTCTGTCATCGTTCTCTGGCAACGCCATCTTACAGTCCTTAGACAGTTTATCGCCCCAGAGTTCATAATTTCTTGTCTCTCCAGCCTGCCTTTTTCTAGCTGCATGATTTCCACCAGGCATCTTCATGGCAACTTTCGCTTCCTTCAGCACCTTATTGCCCCAGCGATACAGACGGATATCCTTGTTCTTCTTCATCTCGATTGTAAACATTTTATCTTCGACCTCTGCTTCCAACGCCAAATATTGTTGTTCCAAAAACTGAATAACGTGACTTAACTTTTGTGTTTCTCTTGGTTTTCTTGTTTGCTGTTCGTACAGCCTTAATCCATTTCTGTCAAATTTCCTTAAAATAACCCTTGCGAAAAATATTTCGGTGTTTTCCAATTGTATATTGATGGATTTAAGGCCTTGAATGCTATTCTTTGTTGTGTCCAGCATCTGCTTCACGCTCTTCTTGGACTCACTATCCATTGTTGGCTGATCCAAAATGTCATCCACCATCTTATTGAATAGCACCCTCTGATTGTCGTATGTTAATTTCAACAACTGTAGCGCCTCCTCATAAGAGTTGTCCTGCGTCCTTAGATGTTGTATTATATGACTCGCCTCTCCTTTTACCGCCGACTTTAGCCTATGCATTTTTTCCACGTTGGTGTAGTACGGTGCATCGTGTACTAGGCTCTTGAAAAGATCATGAAACGATTCCCATTCACTTATATCACCACTGAATGTGGGAACTTCAATTTCCCTTTTATTGATCATGCTGTACGGCTGGTCCACCCTTTCTGCTATTTTTGACTGAGATTCTCTGATCGCTGCTAACATTTTTGATTTCTTCATTAACAGTCGTCTCCATTGTTCCTGAATTTCTGGATCGATTAATATCTCCCTTTCCGCGGTCTTCACAATATTTCCGATAAAATTAAATGCTGTCTCTATATCCTTTTCCGTCTCTAGGCTATCCATCAGTATCATGGTACATTCCACCTCTCGTATGATCCCTCTAGCCTCTAACTCGATCTTGGTCGGTGCCGAGCTCTCCAACGAATCGTCCTCCCGGGAGTATGGCCCCACAGCCACATCCCTTTTGTCTGACTCCCTTATGTTCAGATTTGAAGCCCCCTCGTCGCTTTTGCTCGCCAACACCGCCGTTTCTTCCATATCTCGGATGATCGCTCTGGCCTCTAACTCGATCTTGGTCGATGCCGAGCTTTCCAACGAATCGTCCTCCCGGGAGTATGACCCCACAGTCACATCCCTTATGTCTGACGCCTTTTTGCCCAGATGTGAGGCCCCCTCATCGTGTTTGCTCGCCGTCACCGCCGTTTCTCTTGCCGCAATCTCCTTTTGACTCCGCATACTAGGGAAATTCCATTGAATGCTCCTTGCACCCAATTCTTCCCTTTCCTCTGTTTCGGGACGTAGGTTTTGAGTCTCCATTCCTTTATCATCCTTATTGTCTGCCGCCATCAATTTATTGTGTGCTCCAGTTTCTTCAGCTTCTGTTGAGTCTTCCGAAAGCAATTATTGAGATCTTAATTCTCCTGTTTTAATTTCATCAATTGCTTTTTAAATTTCCTGCATCAATTCTCGGGTGTAGCCGTATTCATCTTTTTTGTAATAGTCAAGATATTTAAACGGTCTCGACATTAATATCTCGTGATTTTTTAGGAAAATGTCCCATATTCCTCTAGCAGTTCTTTCCATTACGGACACTCTACAAGTGCGCATTGGATCTTTCAGCTGCTGCTTAATTTTCACCAGAATGTCGACTATGTCTCTTCGGTTTTTTATCAGGGTTTCAGTTTTGTCCATTTTGTTATACGTTTCATTTATTTTGCTGATTCTTTTATTATTATTATTTTATGTTAAGGCTCGATGGACCAGATGTAAGCGGAAGAAATTTATGCACCGTTTTACTCTTGTTACTACACTAGTTAGCCCCGCTATTCTCTTTTATTATAAAAACATGTTCACTTATCCGTGAACAATAAGAAAAAGCTATGTTTTCCAAATTTTAAGTAAAAAAATAATAATAGTTTAGCACCATTTATTATCACTATTCCCACATAATATTTTTCTGCTTTACGTACTTTTTTAAAACACTTAGCTGTCACTTTTTTCATAATTTTTAATGTTGTATTTTTTTTTTTTTTTTTTTTCTTTTCTTTTTTTCATTGGTCAGATAGCTGAGCACTTTGTCAATATTCACTTCAAAAAATTTCAATTTCTTTGACACTGAAATCGGTTTTCATTTTTCTTTTTGGTAACGTTTTCTTCATTCTCGTTTTTTCATTATTTCATTAATTTGATTACACAAGGCATGTTTTCTTGCGAAAAAAATACTCACATTTTGGCGTTACTACGGGTCCAAAACCCAAAATCAGCTGTGATTTATATGCCGGGACCGATTTGGCCAATGTAAATAAACGGCGATGATTCCAACGATGATATATCCACAGGAATATCAGAAAAAATATCGCGAATATAAAAAACGGGTGCATGATTCAATGGCTGTTAAGCAAATGTTGCGATTGATTGAACATCAGTAAATTAAATAACATTCGTTAGAATGCCGTATACAGTTGTGTTCAGAAAAATACGATAACCAGTTAAAAAAAAAAAAACGAGGGAGCAAGATGTTAACACAACAACGATTAAAGCGTATTAAGGATTAAGGACGGTTTTTTCCTTAGTCCTCATAAGGTACAAATATTGTCGATCAGCACAACAATTAACCTAATTCCATGTGTCTGTTAAAGAAAGGAACATTTTTTTCTACATCACATGCGATATTTTCAGTTTGACTTACAATGCTGAATTGTACTTTTTATAATTTTTATACCCTCAGCCATATGGCCGAAAAGTGACTCATCGAAATAACGGCTTTAGACTCCAGGTCCCTTGGAACCAAATCCGTTTCAGAACATTTGGAGTCGATGCTGGCTGCGATTTGATCCAAACTTGGTAAATCGTAATATTATTATCAAATTTAGATCGAGTTCGGATATGGGCAATATCGGTCCAGTCCTTCTGGTACCTCCCCCAAAACAGGTTGACATTTTCAAAGAAATGTTTTACTGCACAGAAAGAAAAACGTAATCCGATTTTGCTCCAACTTTGCAAATCCTAATATCTGCATCTGTACTAGGTCAGGTGGGAAAATGGAAAATATCGGTCCACATCATCTAGTACCTCCCCACAAAAGGTCAAAATTTTGAATAATTTGACTTCTTTTTAAGAGTCTGATTGCCTTCAAATTATACACATCACAATATTTTTATTAATCCAACATCTGGTGTGAAGATGGAATATATCGGTCCACTTCTTCTGTTACCTCCCCCACAAGGGGTCAAAAATTTGAATATTCATGAAAATCATAAAACGTCAAATTGACATCCGATTCCATTCAGACTTTGCACATCTCAATATTTCCATCAATACAAGATCTGTTATAAAGATGATAGAGATCGAACCATTCCTTCTGGTACCTCCCCCACAAAGGGTCACGATGATAATATCCGAAACAAGCATCCGGTTCTCTTCATATTTTACACACCCCATTATTTCTACTAACAAAAGATCTGCAGTGAAGATGGGATATATCTGTCCACTCCTTCTAGTATCTCCCAACAATAGGTGAGATGAAAAAACTGCAACCAACTTCAGACTTCTGTCATTTCTAAGCCACTTGTCCGACAGCTTTTAAAATTATTCCAGTGAAAGCTAATTGTATTACTTACAAGCGTACAAAAGCATTTTAGTGAGAATTATCCAGAAAAAAAGTTATTCGTGATGGAATTCAAGCGTGATAGTGTGACTTCTTTATATTGGAAGAAGTGGCTGTCGTTAGAGCACTCCAGCATTTAAATGTGAATAAATCATCTGTGTCTCGTACCATCGCGCGTTACCGTGATACATAGCCCGACGTCAAGGAAGTGGACAGAAGAAAACAGCAACATCGCCAGAAATGGTTCGAAAAGTAAAGAAGCGACTTGATCGAAACCCGCATCGCAGTGACCGAAAAATGGCTCGTGAACTTAACATATCGCAATATCCATTCGGCAAATGTTGAAAACGAGCTCGCCATTGAAATTCCAAAAAGTACAAGAACTTACACCACAACAACTGCCGAATTTGGTTTTCTCCGATGAGAAAACATTCGTTGTCCAGCAGTTTGTAAACAAACAGAATGAACGTGTTTACTTGCCAAAGAGGTCAGCTGAAAATGTGCACCTTCGGTTGGCCACCAGAACTCAAGCGCCGGCCATGGTAATGGTGTGGGCCGCCATAACAGCCGAAGGTCGCTCTCCGCTCGTATAAATCGACCGTGGAATCAGAATAAATGCCGAATATTATCGCGAAAATATTCTGGAGGTTGTATTCAAGCCTTGGGCACGCACTTATTTTGACCGCAGACATTGGACAATCCAACAGGACTCAGCACCATCGCACTCAGCACGCGCCACCCAAGAATGGTTACAAAATGAGGTCCCTCGCTTCATTTCCAGCGCACAATGGCAACCAAAATCTCAGGATACCAATCCGTTGGACTATTGTGTCTGGAGTATTTTGGAAAGCAAGTTTGGCACTAAAAAAATACCAAAGTGTCGATCATCCCATGCAAGCGCTTCGGCGGGAATGGGCCAAAATATCGCAGAGCAACATTCGGGCAGCTTGTGACGGTTTCATTGGCCGTTTGAAAACCATAATTCGTGCCAAAGGTGACCAATTCGAACAAATATAAACTTATTCTAAAATTTTATGTTATTTCCGACATTTTTTGGCGTTTGACTCTGTTGCGAATTTTTTTTCTCACCCTGTATGTGTTCGATTTCCTTTAAACTTTGCACATACAAATATTTTTATTAGATGAAGTGGAATTTTTCGGTCCGCTATATCTGAGTTTTAGTTTGTATAATCATAACTCAGCAAAACCGGCTGATACTATTTAACTTGAAAATGTTGCCCTTTTGTGGAGGAGGTACAAGAAGGAGTGGACCGATATTGGCCTTCTCCGAACTCAATCTAAAATTGATAATAATATTGCGAGGTACCAAGTTTAGACCAAATGGGAACTTCCTTCGAGAGTTAGAGTGCGCACTGTACTGGACTAGATCAATTCCAAATATTCAGAAACGGATTTTGTGCAAAGAGACCTAGGATCTTAGACCATTATTTCGATGAGACACGTTTTGGCCGTTTCAAATGATACATACCCTCGGTAGCCATATGCCTGAGGGTATAATAATCGATTCATCACCCTTTCATTTCATCATTTATTTCATCGACATAACAGAATGATCGACTTGCTATAATTTTCAACACAAGTGTACAATTTTGCGTGAGCATAAAAACATGAATGACATTAGCCCATCTCTTCGATTTTTTAACAAATTCTTGTTCAGGTTTATAATATTATTCATATTATACTATGAAATATTTTTTGGATTATTAATAATATGAACAGAACTGACGTAGTTGTGACGTTGTTGTTCTTAAAACAGATTTTTTTTCCATTTGTAACGGACTATGATGACATGAATTCGTTGTTTACAACGTTACAATTTCCGCAACCTACTGGCATGTTTGTAGACAATCTGTTAGTAGAGCGATGGTTATGATTGGTTCTCTGCTCAAGCAAATTAAGATACATTTTTGAGTAATGGAAATTTTCGATTAGAATTTATGAACCTAGCCAAATTCTCAAAACATTTACATTTTTGTGTTTCTGTTTAGCGCCGCTTGAAGAATGGAAACTTTTTAAGAACAAAAATGTCACAGGCCGGCCGGTTACGAGGAATGAGGGGACTACGTTTTGTGTTATGTGAGACACACATATTTCTTGCACAATCAACCTGTAGCTGTCTTATTATGGAGGATTGCTTAGCAGATTTTTTTCAAATTTATACTTGGACTTCTTTTAAATTCTTTTCAAGTCTACTAAGAATAATGTTCACATACATTATTTTTTATTATATTTTTATTTGTATTTTATTATTATTTTGCGAAAATCTATATCCATAAAACTCAATTTTTATACCCTCAGCCATAAGGCTAGAGAGGGTACATTTATATTGATACGGCCTCATTGAAATACTATTTTTAGACCCTAGGTCTCTTTGGACCAAATCCGTTTTAGGACATTTCGAGTCGATCCAGTAATGTCTGTCCGTCCGTCTGTCCGCCTGATGCGCACGATTACTATCGAAGGGATTATCCGATTTGATCCAAACTTGGTACATCGTAATATTATTGTCAAACTTAGATTGAGTTCGGATATGGGCAATATTGGGCCACTCCTCCTGATACATCCCCACAAAAGGTCGAAATTTTCAAAAAAATATTTTACTGCATAGAAGGAGTAAGAAACATTGTACTGCATAGAAGGAGTCAAGTGCGAAAATGGAGAAGATCGATTCACTCTTTCAAGTACTTCTTCCACAAAGGTTCTTATAAAATGTGATGTAAGAACCCGATTGTTTTCAAATTACCCACATCACAATATTTTTATTAATCCAAGGTCTGGTGTGAAGATGGAGTACATTGGTCCACTCCTTCTGGTACCTCCCCCACTAAGGGTCAAAATTTTGAATATCCATGAAGTTCATAAAACCAGAAATTAGTATCCGATTCTATTTGGATTTGGTACATCTCAATATTTCTATCGACACAAGATCTATTATAAATATGGTAGAGATCGGATCAGTCCTTCTACTACCTCTCCCACAAAGAGTTAAAGTTTTAAATAAGCTAAACGATCATAAAATCCGAAATAAGTTTCCGGTTCTCTTCATTTTTCACACAAACCATTGTTCGATTTCCTTTAAATTTCGCACGTACCAATATTTTTATTTGTATTAGATGAAGTGGTGAGCTATATCTGGTACCTACATTTTCCAAAAATTTGCACATATCTCATTTAAAGTATACGAATTCAAAATATTGCACGTTGTAATATTTATATCATACTAAGGTCAATAAGGGACTCACCATTTTAGATTTACACAACCGAAAGCATAAATACAACCTCTGAGTTGTTGTTTATATCTAATTTACATATAAATTCGACATTTTTATTCAGATACTAGCTGAACGCCGGTGCGATTCTCTACCCTTTTGATTTTATATGAATTTAAAATTATATTTTTATTATATTTTGTGGGTTTTAAATAAAAGAAAAATTCAAGATTATAAGAAAACGTCTTTATTGTAATGCTTTAGGACACACATTGTTTTTGTACCCTCCACCATACTATGGACGGTTTATTAACTTTGTCATTGCGTTTGTAACTCCTAGAAATACTAACGTCAGGCCCATCAAATGTTTGCGATGTCCGTCTGTCTGTGTATCTCTCTGTCTGCCTGTTGCAATCACGCTGTCTTTGGAACGAATTGAATAATAGGTTTTTTTTTCCGGTCCACGTTTTCGTATAGCCCATATAACGGTACAACCCTTTATTCGGTATTTTGATGATTTGAACGACATTATTTTACCCGAAG